AGTATTACGGCACTAATTTTCGGTAGTAGTTAGTTAGTCTAAGAAAACTCTATACGTCCTTAATATATATTAGTGTTAGCTATTCGAGGATGCTTTTGACCTTATCTTCCTCTATCCCTAATCCGTTAGGGCTAATAGTATATCCGAGGAAACTAGTGTTCTAGGCGTAGAACTCGTATTTCTTAAGTTTTAATATAACCTTTACTTCTCTTAACCGTTATAGCACTATTTTGTTATACTAGACGTATTCTTCCTTAGTCTTTAAAAACACGAGGATATCATCGAGATATACGATAACGAACTTATCGAGGTACCCGTTTAAAACGTGAAAGATAAATCGTTAAAACGATACTAGTACGTTAGTAAGACCGAATAGCATAACCTTATATTCGAAATATCTAAACTTAGTCCTAAATACTATTTTCCACTCGTCTCCTTCCTTAATCCTAAGTCGGTTATATATATTAGTAATATCGTATTTACTAAAGTATTTCGCTCCCTAAATAATATCTTAAATCTCGTTAATTAACGGTAGTAGGTACCGGTCCTTAATAGTAATATCGTTAAGCTATCGGTAGTTAACGTATATCCTAAGTTCTCCTCCTTTCTTAGGTATAAACAGAATTAGGTATCCTACTAATAACTTCGAGTGTTAAATATTGCCCTTTTTAAGGTTTTCCTTAATATATTCGTCTAGTACTACTAATTCCTTCTACGATAGTAGGTAAATTAGCATAAACTTTGGTTCTTAGCCATCCTTAATCTTAATCTTATAGTTAAACGGACTATACTCTAGTAGCTTACCGTCCGGTAGTAGCGTAAACATATCCTAGAATTCCTTATATTCCGCGGGAATCTTATGTTCTTCCTCTAGTAATCCTATTATATAGAGGGTAGTTACGTCGTCGTTAACGAGAACGTATTCCTTAAGTTCTTCGTCCGTTATATCTAGTCGTTATTCCTTATTAATAATATCGGTAATATCGCTCACTCGTTTATTAGGCCTACCTCCTAGCCGAGAACTCCTTTCGTAATTTCCTTCGTACGGGATCTTATAAGTACCTACTTCCCCGGTGCTAGGTCTCTTTAGCGGTATCGGCTCGATCTTTCTAGTCTACACTTCGCTAGTCTATCGATACGAGTATCTATCGAAGACTATATTCCTAACCTACTAGTCGATAGCTAGGTTATGCTTCCTTAGCTATAGTACTCCTAGTATAACGTCGTATATACCTAGTGGGGTAATATCGAAGTTAATAACTTCGAAATAATCTCTAATAACCATTAGTAGTAGTCCACTCTCGTATATAATACCCGGCCCTAGGCTCTCTCCGTTAAGCCCGATCAAAGGTACTATTCGTGGTTTCTCTATATCTTTAATCTTATATTACCGTTTATATCGTAGGCTTATAAAGTTTCCTACCGCTCCCGAGTCGATTATCACTTTAGTCGATCGAAGTGCGATATTAGCAAAAATCTT